GCTATGAGGAAACCACTCAAAACTCAATTTTCTAGGCTACATTTTTTCTTCGTAATTTTCAAAATTTTACTTTTTCAAAATAGCATCCTAGGGTGGTTCATATTCATGTCCCAAACATACTGTTATGCTACCTCGAAGAAGTCCACCCCGGCTCCAATCAGCCACGCAAGATACTGTTTGCACCCCGTCATCTACCAACGTCGATTTTGTCGTGTTGTTTGCACTCTCTTCCGTACTTGTGATCGCTACGCATATCCTTTTTCCTTTTCTGAAACTCGCGAAACGAGTCAAAAAATGTCTTTCTTTGTGAACTTTCGCAGAGAGAGAGGTTTTCCCTGACGACATCTCCAGAAAAGAGATTTCTGCAGTTAGGCACCGTTCTTGTGTGGAGGCATTGCCGCCGTTGGAAGGCCATGCGCTTGCGCGGTGAAGTTATCGTTTCTTTTTCAAGGTTCAGACTTGTAAGAGCACAGACGGCGAGAGTCTTAGTCGCACCCCCACTCCAAAGCTCAAAGATACTCGACGGGACTCGACTACGGGTGGTTTTCTCTACTAGTTGCGTGTCTATTTGAACATGTCCTGTCTTTGGACGGCTTCTGTCAATCGCAGATCGGGTCCAGAGGTGTTCTTTCTCGCATTTTCTGATCGGGCAGTGAAAGGAGGCAAATACAGCAAAGGGAGGAGTGAATAAAAAGGAAGAGGAGGGAGAAGGGCTTCGCGGCTGACAGGTATCCTGACGCCGACTATGGACCGTCTCAGGACTTCTGTCAGCCCCAAAGCCACCGCACTCCCTTCTTACTTCCTCCTCTTCTATTTTGCTTTCGTTCTTCTCTCCTCCTTCCATATTTTCCTCCCTTCAAATGCTCGGTCAAAATATGCGATGACAAATACCTCTGGCCCCTCGCAGCGGAAGTTGCTGTTGACGAAAGCTCGTTCACAGTCCGGTCGCGCAACCCTGTAGTGCAGATATGCTGGACTATGGAGAGGTTCGAAAAAACAGGAGCCAAAGGATAGCTTTCTGCATCAAAAGGACTTTGCAGCGTGAGTCGCATTTAAGGCCCTGGAATGTTTGAAGGTCACAATGGTCACAAAGGCCATAAAGACGGGAGCAGAAAAGTGGCGAGGTTGAAGGGATGGAGTTCGAGTTGCTATGCACCTTTTTGTGATAACGAGTCGTTTCCAGTTTGAAACGAATAGCGTCGGTCTGGTGTCCTCTTTTCTTGGTGAATTGTTGGTGTAGTCGTTAATCCAGTTAGGGCTATTTCCTCTTTGGCAGATGTTGATCCGCATGGTACAGATCAAAGTAGGTGGAGTTGTGCTTTGTTTCCTGTTTAGGTATTTGATAGTGGTACTTAAATTAATCACTGGAGTTTTATCCAGTAGAATGACTAGGACTGGGTGGCTTGTGGCTAACGTATTGGGGGGGGGGAGAGGGAGCGGAGGCCACAGACGATGAAACGTCATTTCTACTCTCTGCTCCCACCTCAGCGAAATAGAAGTAATTTCATGTTTAGGACATGAATATAACACCGCCGTAGGCTTATATATAGAAGGCAAAACAGTTAACGCTGAAAAGTGCGAAGAAACAATTGTAGGTCGCAAGATCTTTGCCTGAGCCTACAAGGGAAGGAATTCTGGCCTAGATGATCCTTTGTGTAGAAGTGACAATCAACCAATCCGAAGAATGTGAAAAAATAATCTAGTGCATTAGCTATCTAACATCGTAGGAATGCAACCTTGAGCAGTTCCCTCCCAATAGAATTACAACACGATGCACCTCACCAACTCTCTCCACCTTCCAATTTGAAGTCCGTTCCCTGCTTTAAATATGACGACCATCTGTGCGTGTTTCAAACACATTCGCGGCAGGATCTTTTTTGCTTTATTCTTATTTACCTGCTAAATTCGCGCTTTTACTATGCCGGGAACCATCTATGGGCTGCTTCGAGTATTATCTCGACCGAGGAAGGAGCGAGAAGAACAGATGAGTCATCGCTTGCCGCGAGCCGCGTGCCCCCCCCCCCCAAATACGTTAGCGCCGGTTCTTTTACCTGAACGATATTTCAGTGGGCCTCGCTGCCATTGGCCGACTATTCTAGCACCAGTGGAAGTAGCTTGTTATTCGCGTACCCTTTAAAAATCATTATAGTCCTTTTCAGAACGATCTTGTACGGTTTCTTGTGCCTACGTCACTGTTTTGCAGGAACGATGTTGACGCGGCGTCCGTTGGCGGTATTGTGGAATATTTCTGGCAGTCAACATCGATACAGTACTGGAGTGGGCCTCAACTTGGTATCAACCAGGTACGGTGACCCGGGCAAGGACCGTAAGCGTCCCCCGCTCATAATTTGCCATGGCATGTTTGGACAGAAGCAGAATTGGAATAGTGTCTCAAAGGCAATGCAGCGACGTCTTGGCTGCACTATCTACGCAGTGGATTTGCGCAATCACGGCGAATCTCCATGGGCGGATTCCATGAAGTACGAGGAAATGTGTGAAGATGTCGTAACATTTATGACGACAATATCAAAAGAGACGGATTTCTCCAGTTTTCGCCTTCTTGGACATTCAATGGGTGGAAGACTGGTGATGAGGTTGGCAGTTGAGCCGAAATGGCAAGACCTTATCGATCGGCTAATAGTTGAAGACGTGTCCCCTAGAACCTATCCAGGCGATTTCGCTGCTCATATGGGATTTCGCAAATACATACATGCAATGGCAGCATTAGATATGACTAAAAGTCGTCGAGAACTTCTCCGCGATTTGGAGCAAATCGTCCCCGATAAAGCCATTCGTGAATTCCTGCTCACTAATCTTGAGCCGTCTAATGTTTCCGGTGTATCGAGATTTCGTTGTAATTTGAAAGCAATTGATAATAATCTAGAGACCATTTTAAGATTTTCTTTGCCTTCAGGGAAGTTTAACGGCCCTACATTATTCTTATTCGGGGAAAAATCGGAGTATGTAAGAGAAGAGGATAAGAAATATATCAAGGACTCATTCCCCAACGCTTCTTTCAAAGGTATCCCTAATGCAGGGCACTGGGTTCATGCAGAACAACCAGCTGCGTTCATTGACAGTGTTTGTACGTTCCTTGAATGATCTCATAGGAGCTTTAGAGTGCGTTCATACTTTGCGGCAGCGTTTTACGCAGTTGCGACAGTGTTCTGAGAAAGTGTGGTGTCGGTCCTGCGTTTTGAGGGTCCACCAGCGTTTTAAGCGATATCTGTACCCATATATTCCTAGCCGCTTAAAACGCTGGATCGATAATTGTACTACCTATCCGTTCGAAACGCTGACAGACGCTGAAAACGCTGCTGCTAAGTATGACCGCTTTTCTGCAGATTGAAGGGTTTCTAGTTGTTGATTTTGGTAGAGATTCTAATTATTGTCTATATAGTCACATCCACTGCTTTAATTTTTAAATTTGAATGTGATGCAATGGTGCGTTGAGGTGGACCATGTATTATTGAAGAAGTAAAGTGATGTGAATGAGCATTGTTTTGTTTTCATTGTACCAACGTTCTGTGTACGTTCATTATCTCTTTTGTTTGTTTGCGTTTTCTTTTTTGAAAACTGTGCTGTCCCGGAGCTTCATAGTTATCTGAGTGCATAAAAACAAGAAAAAGCTCTGGAAACTTTATTCAAAGAGTTCAAAATGCGCGAAAGATTCAATGCGCCAAAAAACTGTTCAGAATATTTATCGTAATTTTTCGGGGGTAAAGAGTAAGCCTTCCCCTACGAGAGGGGGACCCACGTGAGTTGAATTTTATTAACTGTAGTAGTTTCTTAATATCTATCTACACTTAGAAAGGAGTATTTCAGGCCTGACGAAGGTGCTGAGGACCAAAATTTCGTGTTAAATATTCTCAGGACTTTCTTGATTCTTTTGCGCCTATTGAACTCTTTAGAATAAAGCTTCTTCTCGCAGCTTCTTATTTTTGAGCATTCAGTTTTCTTTTGTATTGAAAGCGCGTTTGTGAGAAGTTCAATGGCATCGTTGTTGCAGGTGCTCTCCTACTTATTCCTGCGTGTTGGTTCAGTTCGATCGATCTGCACCGAAGTTTCCCGTTCGAGTGGGTTTTTGTGCCGACCGACAGTGGCGTAACACGCGGTGTACTGGTAGTCCACGCCGCTGAAGATGAGTTGCGACTTTCGTGAGAAGTTTGAGTCTCCAAACAACTTCGCTTCGTTGTTCTATCCTAGTAGACTTCTCTTTCTTGCTGCATTCATACTTTGCATCAGCGTTTTGAGCGTAAGCCTGCATATGGCAGCGTTTTGAGCGACCAGGAAAGTGCAAGTATGGATCTAGAACATCAGCAGATTGAACGCCAGCGGTTTCAGCGACTGCCTACGAAAAGCTCATAACGCTGGGGTGTGCCCATACTACTAAATCGATACTTCACTTTCTTGATCGATCAACACGCTGGCGCAAAATGTAGTCGCAGAGTATGAACGCACTGTGAGTACTCTACGCAATTTCCAGAGCTCCACCAGATGCAGGTTACAGATGCAGACCGTCGTCGAAGCGTCTTCATCGTAACTCATAGTCCGTTTCAGGGTGTGGAGTTTCCACCGGTAGCTGAGCAGCAATGATTTGTTCGCATGGTGTAAAGCGTGACCATTGTCCACAATCGCCATCCTTGGTGAAGAGGGCTAATGCCGTTTGGACTCCAGAAATTTCGTCTTCGAGCTCATTTTCAAATTGCCTAAGTCACCAAATCCACTAAAAACTTGTATATAGGGGTAATTCAACATCCTGATTACGAGTATGACACTCATTCTTGGCGCTGGCGCCAAGAGAGGACACTACGATTACCTCCTGGGCTCAGCCTTAGCAGAGCGCAGGTAACCGTAGTGTCATCCATTAGCGCCAGCGCCAAAAATGAATGTCATATTCGTGATCAGGATGTTGAATTACCCCTATATACAAGTTTTTAGGGGATTTGGTGACTCAGGCAATTTGAAAATGAGCTCGAAGACGAAATTTCTGGAGTCCAAACGGCATAAGCCTTGTTAGGTGAGACTGAGGGATGGGGAAGGAGAGGAGTCGTACCAGGGTAGGAACTTCGGAGGGCTTTATATGTTG